AGATATTTTTCACATTGATTAATTGTTTTTATAAATATTAAATTGATTAATATTATTTCAAAAAGTGCAATATGTGGAAGTACATCTTGGCACTATTCCAATTCCAAGGTACGTTAGTTTTGCAAAAGATTTCAGACAGTTAGTTATTTTGAATAACGCTATAACCAATATAATTTATTTCTTGACATATCAATGTTTATAGTTGTTACCTTTTTATATTGAATCCACTTACCAAAAACTATGCACGTCATCTAGTGGCAATATATTTAGGCAATTTCAGCAATGGTAATACAAACAATGATCTATTTATTGATGGTGGTTGATGCAGAAACTTCCAACTGACTTACGGCGTAGGGGAAAAGGTTACTAAAACTATTTACTAAAATTTACTAAAATTGATTGTAAAATGGGTGTGCGCTGGAAGTCGAAAACGTGCCTGAATCTTAAACTTTTTGCATTTGCGGTAAGGTCAGAATCTGTTAATTTTAGTTTAATTCTTTAATTTCTGGTTAACCTAATCAACAATTTAAGATGTAAACAGGGTCTGCTTTATTTAGATCACATTACGAGGTCTTACTGCATATTCTTATTCACTTATTATTAATTCACTTATGTGATTCTTGGTCATTCTTAAAATGTCATCACGTTTTCCTTTGACGATGAGGTTGCTTTGCACCGTAGTGACATACTCTACCTATCATGTAGGTATAATAATATCATTCGAACTTAGGAATATTTAACAAATTTGGCTTCAATATTTCAAAAATCGCAAATATTTGAAATCTTTGCAAAAAAGTGAAAGAAAATAAAAATGAAATCAAATTTTTTCACATTATTTAAAATGGAAAAATAACTTACCAAAGATTTTTATTTGATTTTATTAGTTCATTATGAAATGGCTTTTATGCTCTACCACTGTTAACACAAAATGTGCTAGCCCCAATCAGTACGTCTTTTTCCTTTCTCCTTTTGTGCAAAAGAAATTTCGCCCACTTTTTATCGGCTTCTTTTTTTGTTACTTTGTATATTCCCATGTGAAAGTAGATTCTTGGACAAAGCGACAGCGCCTATAAAATCATAGTCGCAATGTAGAAGCTCTACAAAGTTAACACTAAAAATTAATTCCAACCTTTCTTGCTAAAACACACTCCTAAATGTAGTTTTAGCAGATCCTTTAATTGACCATACGATTAGTTTATTCAAGGTCGATGGCAGCATAGTTACCTAAAACCTATGTAAGATTAAGTCTATCTCATTTTGCAAAAACGTTAAACTTCATATCACATTCATCAATCATCCCTAAAGAACTAACGATCTAAGATCGAAATGTCTTTTAAATTAGCTTGATAGTCACTGTTAGAGCACCACTGTTAGAGTCACTGTCAATAAACCACTTTTAGTATGGTATAGACTTTTGGTACGGAGACTGTCGTTATATTTCTGACAGCGATGGAAATTCGAATACCATCCATTTACATTGCAATTAGAGATTTCTCTGTCGTCTGTGTAATAAATATTAGCCATCCCGCTGTACAATATCTTTGAACTTTAGCATAGATCCTCTTTTGGTACTGTATCATATTTTCCTATAGAAGATTTTTAATAGGATAATTGACTATATGTCGAATTTTGTTTGTTTCACTGTATTTTACCGAGAAAATATTTTTGAGTAAAATAATTTGAAATTAATCCTCTGTGTTATTCTAATTAGTTTTTTTTTATGAAGTCCCAGAGTGCACACAAACTACAACACCAACGTTAGGTGCCCTGCGCTCCAATCAAATAGGAAAATAATTGTTTCTACTTTTCCAAAAATTCTGCACTGTTTACCTTTTAATATTGACATTAAATTTTTTTTCATTTTTGTATTCTAATGGTGTAAATAATTAAATTTTACTTTTTGCTGCTCATTGCTCGTTGCACGGTAAAATTTAAATTAAAAAAAGGGTCGACGTTAAAGTTGGTGATATTCACATCATTACGAGTATCTGCAGCTCAGTTTGTATCTAATTTGTATTCACTGGCGGGCGCTCCGTAGGTTATTTGTATTGTGAACATTCCGCTAGAGTTGATAACACAAACTACTGTTTTAATAATGTGGGATATATTTAGTTATCCACTTTGTAATTATTGTATATTCCGAAATGTGCACGGAACCGTCGATGCTGTGAAAATTGCAGCCGCATCAAACAGCGCCCCGGTCCGGCTCCGGATCCAGCTCCATTTTACACGTGTGCCCAAGGAAGACATAATTTTATTGCTAATTAAATTGAACGGAAAAATTTTAAAATCATTTATGCACATTTGACTCTACGTTTAAATGGACGAGTACGTATGCGTGTGTTTCAAAAAATAATTTAAATGGCCAACCATTCAATACAACAATTCGAACGATAAAATATTAAATTTAATGTGAATTTTTAATTTATTTCATCGCTAATTAATAACTTTTATGTTACCATAATTATTTGAAATATATCCATTTAATTATTTCCATGTACGTGGGAATCAAGACAAGTGTTGCATATTAATTCAAATTTAATTGAGATATAAAAAATATCTCTCGAATTTGCTGTAAATATCAATTGAACATTGCGTGCTCAGCAAACGACCTTTTACAAATTAGAACAATTTTCGCAACAAATCACCTTCACCCAGCATCATAGAGACTAACTACGATGGCAAGAGAAGCTACCTTAAACCAAACAAACATTGTTTTGGATTCAATAAATTATATCATATGTTTATGCTATTTTTGGGGCAAATAAATTTTCTTAAATATTTGTTTTATTATTTAAATAACTACATAATTATTCACACTTAAATCGAAATTAGTAAATTGTTTTTATTACAAAAGCGAAAACGAAAACTAAACTTAATAAATTATTTAATTTACCACAAGCGAAAAATTCGTCAAGTGTTTTACGTGCTCAATCACCACACACTAAAAACAATTCACGCAAGGGATCTCTTCCTTTCCTAATAATGCTTCGCAACTCATTTTTTTTATCCGAAGTAGTCAACACTATTCTAAATATCAATTTAGCTCAACCTATGTTAGTAAACGCAACTTTTTAAATCTGTTTATCCTGAACATCATATTAGGAGCAGAATTGTACATCAAAATGCTTAGCATTCCTCTACATTAGTATCTACAATGTATATCTACAATGTCTTTCAGGCGATCGTCTTTCAATTGAACGTTATTTTAAACCAGAAGCTTATCTCGAAGCGTGTACTATATTGAAAAAAAATATTTATATTTTATGTACTACTAAAAAGGGGTATTACTTGGATTTTAGAAGGACTCTTAATATAAATTGTTTAAAAGGTCTAAGGTCTCCAAGCTGGGTAGTGGTGTAAGTGGTATTGGAATTTTCTTAAAGGAACTGAAAAAAATCTGTACATTATGGAAGTGTACAGTGAAAGTGGTTGTTATTATAAAACCTTGAGCTTATCTTGAAGTATAAAGTATTGAAATATTGAATATAGTCATATTAAATATATAAACCCGCAACAGGTCCCGGGTTTAAATCCCGGACGAGCCTCCAAAATGTGGGCTTTTATTAAATGAATTTCTATATATTGATCAATTAAATTAAAAATAAGTTTATAATAAATATTTGATAACAGTATTTCACTCGACCGTTCTTTCTGACCATCACAAAGCGACTAATTTTTTTCTAGTTCCGACATAAAAGTTATGTTGCTCTACTTTCTTCTGCTTTCGTGGTATCACTGGCTTGCTGCATAAGCATACCCTATATATATATATAAATATATATATAGATACTTTAAGTCCTTCACATTTGATATGCTACACAATTCTCTCTACGTTTCCGGTCTTAGAATCTCGCGGTTTCAGCATTTTATGAATTTTATTGCCAAAAAACTGATCCAAGCCCTAGATTTATAATGTTCTCATTTAGGATAAAGATTTTACCGTCTAAACGATTTTGTATTAACTAAAATAAATAATATTAGAAATATACCTGATATAGAGAATCTGTTTAATGTGATAAACCATTTCATCTAAAATATTAAGGCTCTTATCAAGTTATCAATAATTGTAGCTAAGAAGAATAAAATATGTTCCGCTTCAAAATAGAACATATTCTTGACATTTAAGAAGCAAATCGCGGACGTTCATATGACATAGTAAATTTTATTCCATTAGACTATGTGAAATACACACATATATCATATTGAGTTTTAAAAATAAATATAAATAATCGATTTTGAAAATACTTTTGTCCACAAGCATTTTAATTTTATGTTATATATATACAGTTAAACTTCCATAACTCGAACCTCTATAACTCCAATTTTCTATAGCTCAAACTAAATAGAGTGCAACAGGGTTTAGAAAGCAAGTTACATACAATTCTTTAACTCGAAGTCTCTATAAGTCGAACCTTTTCTTTGCAAAATGGTACTTCGAGTTATGGAAGTTTGACTGTGTATCTGAAAGTGCTCACATAAGTATGGTATTCATACGAGCACTATTACCAGATACTTTTAAAAATTGATACATATGCAGTATGTAACGATATTTTACGATATAGTGCTCTCCCTAATCATATAAACAAATTATAACATAAAAAAAGTCGAACCTTATTACAATAATTGAAATTGAATATTTTCTGGAAGACAATATATAATATTTAGAAATCATTGATGAAAACTATATCTTTTTTAATTATAATATTATAATTGTATATTACTCGACTAACAGAGTATTTTTTTGCTAAGTAATATAATTTTGTTCGTGGTACTACAACGGGGCTTTGTTTGAGTTCAAGCGGGCTTTGGGCACAACGCGCCCACTCCAACCAAACCTGACCTAATATAATTTTATACGTTTACGGTTAGAATCATATTCACTAGAAGTACTATTACTAATAATACCAAAAATTATTTTTAGAAACATTTTAATTACCATATATTCAAATCAAGTAAATTAACTAAAACTTTTTAATAATATATCTTTTTTATTTTAGTTTCGTACCCTCCTTCTACACCGCCTAGTAATATTGTCACTACCGAAACTCGTTGGGATGTGCAATATGGATATGGGAGTGACGTTTCCCATTCAGTATATTCTCTGGACAAAAGTAGGAATTTATTTATTAAAGCATATAATTAAATACCAGAATTACTAAAGCTAACATTTTTTATAATTTGAATTTGCAATGATCATTAACAATAATCATTAATAATTGTTTTAGCATGTCATACCCAAACATATAATAAAAATCATTTACTTTTTTTTTATTTTATAATACTCAATTTCATTATTTTTTTAATTCTCTTTATTATGTTAATCATCCTATTTTAATATTTTTTTTTATATATTTTTTATGTTATTCTATATTATAATTATTATATTTATCTATACTTATATTTATTATATACATATTATAAAATTTTTATTTATTATTTTATTGCATTATATATCATTTTATAAAATTTTGTTGGTTTTATATAATTATTTTTTTTATATATTTTTATTATATCTTATATTATACATATATTTACACATTACTATCTTTATTTTTAATTCATTTTTTATTTTATTTCATTATAATCAATTTCAGATTTATTTCAATTTATTTAATCTTATCTATTTTGAATCATCTCATTTTGATATATATTATCATATTTTATTTTATCTCATTTTATTATATATAATTTTATTATTTATAATATTAATTTATTATATTTAATTTAATGTAATTCAATTGATCTTTTATAACTGTTCTTTATTTATTTTTTTAATTCCTTTATTTATTTTATTTTTTCTTAAATAGACATATATTTACATATTAACTTAAGGTATTTTATTTCATTTCATTATAATCAATTTCAAATATATTTTAACGTTTTAATTATAGCTTCTTATTATTATTATAAATATAATTTTTTTAATAATATTTTATTTCAGTTATTTTTTAGTTAATTTCATTATAATTTATATTTTAAACCATTTAATTATGCCTTTTTGTTATATCATCAAATTTTAATATAATTTAATTTTTTATTATTTTATTTTATTTTTATATATTATTCAACCATTCTTTTTTTATTTTATATAATTTAGTCGATGTTTTATATTTAATTTTTTTTTTTTTTTATGTTTTTTTGTCTTACGTTTTCTTGCACATTTTTTTACTAAGTTTTATTTAATTTATTTATTTATTTTTATTTAATTTAAAAACTAGAATTTTTATTCATTTCATATATGTTTTTTTGTAACTTATTATAATTAATTACATTTCATTTTACCTGTATTACTTTATTGAGAATATTTTCTTTTATTTCATATTATTTTACTTCACATATTTTGTTTTATTTTTATTTCAATATTTATTGTTATTTTAATTTAAGGTATTTCTATGCTTTGTTCCATTTTATTTTCCTTATTTTCTATTTTGTTTTGTGCTCTATTAATTTACTTTTTTCTATTAGGAATATTACATATATTTTAATGTGTTTTTGTTTTTTTAATTAACTTTGTTTCTTTGTTCTTAATTTTTATTTCATTTCTTTTGATGTTATATTATATTATTTTAATTTTAATTAAGTAATTTATTTTTATTTAATTATTTTGATTTTCCTTTACATGCTTTCATTTTGTTTTATAATAAATTATCCAATTTCTTTTTAATTTGATCTTATTTGACTTAATCGTATATAATTTTAATTATTATGTTTTATTACATTACATATCTTTTCTTCATTACATATCTTATCTTATCTTCATATCTTATTTTTATTTTTTATATGTAATATTTAATTTTTTTTCTTTTCGTTAAGAGTCTCATTCCTATGAAACTTATTCTATATACGAAAAAACAAAACTCATCATTACTTTATAATATTATTTAAAATCTCGTTTTTTTTTTGTTTATTTTTTTTATTTTGCATTAATGAAAATTTCTTTTATTAATTTTATTATTTTATGCTTTAATTCTATTTCACTTAACTTATTAACTGTTCTTTTAATTATTTAAGGCAGTTTTCCATTTCATGTTACAATACTCCATTTTATTCTATTGATTTTATTTCCCTTTTTCTTTCGTTTTATTTTATTTATTTTTATTTTATTAAAGTTTCTTTAATTTTACTTTAATTTTTTTTTCTATTTTTATTTTGTCTTATTTGAAATTAAAATAAATAAAATATTAATAAATTAAATTATAATAATAACAGTAGTTAAAAAATAATTTTTTTTATTTTAAATAAAAAAAAATTTGCGTCATATTATATCTTTTTATTTTATTTCTTTTATTTATTATATTTATTTTATTAATTTATCTGTTTTATTTATTTTATTTATATTATTTTATTTATTTTATTTGTTTTATTTATTTAATTTGTTTTATTTACTTTATATATATATATTTTATTTCATTTATTATATTTATTTTATTTAATTTGTTTATTTTACTTTTTATTTATTAATTTTATTTGTTTTATTTTATTTTATTTAGTTTATTCGTTTTATTTATTTTATTTATTTTTTTTTATTTTATTTATTTTATTAATATTATTTTATTTATTTTATTTGTTTTATTTACTTTATATATATTTTTTTTTATTTCATTTATTATATTTATTTTATTTAATTTATTTATTTTACTTTGATTTATTAATTTTATTTGTTTTATTTTATTTTATTTAGTTTATTTAGTTTATTCGTTTCATTTATTTTATTTATTTTATTTATTTTATTTATTTTATTTATTTTATTTATTTTATTTATTTTATTTATTTTATTT